GGCCTTGGCCTTGCCTTTTGGATGCCCTCCGGGTCCACCCTTGCCCTTGCCCTTGCCCTTCCCCGGCGTTGTCGCCAGGGTGGACGCGTCCCGCTCCTTCTTGGCCGCGAGGGCCTTTTGCGGAGCTCCTTGTCGTGCGAGTAAGGGCACGCGTCCCCTTTTGGGCAGTTCCCGTGGTCGCGGAAATGGAAACAGATAGGCTTACCTTTTCCATTTCCTTTCGGACCAGCGGCAAGCGTGGAAGAGGCGGCCGCCTTGGCCGCGGCCTTAGAAGCCTTGAGCTCCGTCCGCAGCTTCTCGACCTCCTTCCGCGCGGCGGACAGGGCTGGGTCTTCCGTCGAACCTGCGTACACGCTATTAGCCGTCACCCGATGCGCAGCCTCACGCTGCGCATATTCGAGGACGACCTTATGCGCTTCTTCCCAGGTCGAAGGGCCTCGAAGCCCTGCGGATGCGCCGTCGCTAGGCCACAACCGCTTATCACCGCGGATCTCCTTCTGGAGATGTGGAGGCATCTTGCGCAAGTAGCTTAGGAAGAGCTCCCTCGCTGTCTTGCCAAGACCCACACTCTCCCGCTCCGCGATGGAGGCCTCAAACAGGGGCTCGAACTGGTGCCCTGTGAGACGGCCCTTAGTGAGGGCGACGTGCTCCGCGTCCACCCTCATCTCCTTCTCTTCTCGGCTCTCGCCGAAGACAAGGTGCCGCTGCTTGATCCTTTCGTAAACGGCTTGGGGGTTCTCAGTAACTTCCCCGGTCTTGGAGGCAGCCTTGTACACGTTAGTAAAGGTCTTAAGCCTCGAGCCGCGGCAGCGAGCACGAAGGGCGATGAGTTTCTCCCGGAAATTCATCCCCTTGCAGTTGTTGGCAAGGCCACAGACGTCCTCGAACTCTTCGTAGAACTGGACCACGTCCCGGAGGTCGGAGCGATCGTCGGTGAGCGAGGGCCATTGGAGGTCCGTCTTCACGGTCGTGATCGACGTCTGACCTCCGCGAGACGCCAAGGCCTCCTTGAGCGCCTCGGTCTGGGCCGCCAAAGCTGCAGCGAGCTCTCCGGCTCCGCCGCTTGCGGAGTGAGGCTCGCCGGGCTTATCCTTCTTAAGCCCTTCGAGCTCTATCTCCAGAGCCGCAAGGCGGGACTTCAGGGGTGAGTCCCCCGGACCAGGTTGCGGATCCTCAGGGATTGCGAGCTGAAGGTCCACCGGGAGAGGCGCCGGTGCTCCGGACTTAGAGCCCGACTCCGCAACGGCGCCCGTCCGGGCCGCCAGGGCCGGGACAGAAGAAGGAGTGCTCCAAACCTTCTCGGGATCGCCGCTGCTCTTGCCTCCCAGGGCCAAGATCAGCTCGCCGAGGCACTAGATCTCCTTCTCGACCTCCTCTCGGTCTTCCGACCCAAGAGAAACCGCGGCAACGGTAAACCTGGTGCGCAGGGCCCGCACCATCCTGGCAGGGTGCCAGTCACCTCCCAGTTTGCCGTATTCCTCGGCAAGGATGGTGGCCTTGGTAGTGATCTTCTCAAGATCCTCCACCGTGACCTCTGCCTGGTGCGCCTTCAAGGCCACAACCAGCCTTGAAACCCGCGTCAGGTAATCCGCGACCGGTTCCTGGTCGGGACGGTAGAGCTCCCGCAGGTCCGCCTGCAGGGTCTCCGCCGTGACGGGACCACCCGTCCCAGCAGACGAGGGATGCCCGGAACGGGCCGGGCCGCCGGCCACCGGCGAGAGAGCAAGCGCACCAACACGGCGCGCCGTCTCGGCCACGTCCGCCGGCGCAGCGGCAGGACGCGGAGCCGGTACCCCGGCCTCCGGCAGAAGCTCTTCAGAGCTGGGGCCCGGATCGCCATCCTGAGCACCCGGTCCCGCTTCCGCAGCTGGAGCTTCCTCATCTTCCTCTTCATCTTCTTCCTCTTCCTCTTCGGCATCGAAGTTGTCGTAGAGGAATTCCATCGTCTCCTTCCACAGACGCTGTTCATCTGCTAGCGTCGTGGATCGTCCGTCCTTCTTCTTTGTGGGACGGGACCCCGTTTCCTTACGCCAACGGAGCCAGTACATAAATGGCATCTTCTCCGGGTACTCCACTGACCCATCCTCGATGCACCTCAGCAACGTGGCTCCTTCCGGCTGACCTGCGACCTCAGCGCTCATGGTCGCCTAGCGAAGGAGAGAGCCCCGTGCCACACAGGACCACGGCCTCAAGGCGCACGACAAGCGCGCCTTCGAGGCCACGTTAAAAGATTGCGGCGCAGCATCCGCCTGGGTGGCCGTTTCCCAGAACAGCCCCCAATTGTGGAGAACGGAAACCCAAAGGGGCAGCACGCACCCTCGTTTTCCGTCCAAGCAGAAAGTCCCACGACCGTGACAGGTCGAACGTCCGCCCAGGACGGGCTGCGCGCAATTGCGTCGCGGCAACGAGAAGCTACCAACGACACACTGCCGTGCTCACTTGAGCCAAAAATGTTATGAATACGAATTACAGAAGAGCATGCATAAAAGCATACTGCACAACAGCCAGCCCGCAGACTATGTACAGTTACAAGCAGTGCTAGAAGGAAGTAAGTCGGAGTAGCAGCATAGTAGTTCTAGTACTTGTAGTTGTACTCGTCGTCGTCGTCGTCGTAGCAGCACAAGTACAGTTAGGACTCGTGGCAAGAGTAAGTAGAAGTGGCACTGTCACTAAGTACCAGTAGGAGTAGTAGTAGTAGTAGTAGTAGTAGTAGTAGTAGTAGTAGTAGTAGTAGTATACCGCTAGAAATAGTGGGACTACAGGAGCAGTACTATTATTGATTCATCATCGCCTAGTGGCAAAGTACCACTCTTCGCAATAGGAGCAAGTGGTAGTAACTGCGGTGAGGTCAGTCAGTTCTAAATGGAGGAGGAGAAGTGCCAGCAATAGTAGTAGTATTACTAGTACTACAGCATTACAAGGCCTAGTAGTAGCAGCGGCACTATCACTAACTAGCAGTAGCCGTAGCACTAGAAAGTAGTCGTAGTACTAGTAGTAGAAGAAGTAGTAGTAGTCCTCGTCGTAGGACTAGTGGTAGTAGTACTAGGACTAGTAGTAGTAGTAGTAGTAGTAGTAGTAATAGTAGTAGTAGTAGTAGTATCAGTACTACTACTACTACTACTACTACTACTACTACTACTAGTACTACTACTACTACTACTACAACCACTACTACTACTACTACTACTACTACTACTACTACTACTACTACTACTACTACTACTACTACTACTACTAAACTACTACTATACCTCCTACTAACTACTACTACTACTACAACACTACTACTACTACTACTACTACTACTACTACTACTACTACTACTACTACTACTACTACTACTACTACTACTACTACTACTACTACTACTACTACTACTTACTACCACTACTACTACTACTACTACTACTACTACTACTACTACTACTACTACTACTACTACTACTACAGTTTGGCCGATCCTCCGGCCCCTACCGCCAGGGGTGCCGTTCCTCCGGCCCTGCTAGTACTAGTACTACGAAAACCTAAGCAGTGTAACAACCATAACCGGACCATAACCATTATACGTACCGTCCTGGATGCCAGGACTGCATAACCGCTATATTTACCGTCCTGGATGCCAGGACTGCAAAGACCTACTTGCAAAACTGATAAACTAGATATAGTGCTGTGTTTGCAGAAGCTGAAGCCCCGAAAGCCCAAGCAGTGTTTGCAGAAGCTGAAGCACCGAAAGCCCAAGCAGTGTTTGCAGAAGCTGAAGCACCGAAAGCCCAAGCAGTGTTTGCAGAAGCTGAAGCCCCGAAAGCCCAAGCAGTGTTTGCAGAAGCTGAAGCCCCGAAAGCCCAAGCGGTGTTTGCAGAAGCTGAAGCACCGAAAGCCCAAGCAGTGTTTGCAGAAGCTGAAACCCCGAAAGCCCAAGCAGTGTTTGCAGAAGCTGAATCACCGAAAGCCAGGCGGTGTTCGCAATGCTGCAGCCGGTGGTGCTCAAGCTTTTGGATCCCTGGCCTCCAACACCATGAAGAAAGGCTTCTTGCTGCCGAAGAATGACGCGAAGACCGAGAAACCCAAGAAGACGGGGCCACCCAAGAAGACCGAAAAGGATGAGGCTCTTCAACAGCCGGCGGTCCCGAGCTCAGCCGCCGCCGAGGTTCCGAAGATCTATACCCAACAAGAGATCAACCACTTCGTGAAGCAGCTGGAGACAATGAGAGCTTGGGGAGGGGACGACTTCACCTATATCACGGAATCGGGAAGCATCTTCTGCAAGCAAGATCTGGAAGAGATTGTTCGTCGCTATGGACGATAGATCGATCTGTGCACCCGCGGCGGAGGAAAATCGGATTTCCTGCCTTGGTTGGCTTTAGGTTGCTGCTCGCTTGGATGTTTGCATTCCGCTTGCTGTTGCTGCGGGTTGGTCAATGTCAGCATGACAGCATCTTTTGTATATTCAAGGTGTTTGGGAAGGGGCTCCCGTAGGCGGCCCTGGAATTCCAGGGCATGGCGAACGACCCCATGCGAGTGAAGCTGGAGCAGCTTGACGCTCTTTCGGGAGAAGCCGAGAACGACCCGGTGAAGTTCGGGCGGCTTCTGAACACCGCTATGAGGGCGGGGGCTGCTGCTGGTGGAGTGGCTGGGCAGGGCTTTTCGGACACCTTCCTGCAGGACCATTCGGGGTCAGGGAACTGGAATATAAGCAAAAAAACATGTTGCCGCCTATCTAGGACACTCAGCAGACGGAGGCCACCATCGACGCGCAAGAGGAGCAGGACCTGATGAAAGAACTCGAGTCTCAGCTCTACGGCTGCGAGATGGACATCTCCTCCCAGGACTTCGATCCCGCCAAACCCATCCTGTTTCCGATACGTGCCATATCTGTTTCCAGGACGCCCAGCCGACCCAGTACGATCTGCCACCTGCTGACTTGCAGACAGAAGGACATCCATGACTCGCGTTTTGTTGCAGCTTCAGTGTGCACATGTTCTGGTTTGTTTCGATCACAGGTACAAAGGATGGCTTTGATGCCACGTTGGAGCATCTCATGCGTGAGGTCGGGCTCGAGGAACGCGAGGATGATGCGATCACAAAATCTCCAAAGCGAGAGCTTGAAAATGATTTTGCCAGGGTCGCCAAGGAACTGGAGGATGAAACCAGGTTGGCCAAGGAACAGGATGATGCCTGGCGGAAGAAAGCTGAGCAAACAAGATTGGCCAAGGAAAGGGAGGAAGCTGAGAAAGCCAGCAGAATGGCGAAGGAAAGGGAGGAAACTGAGAAAGCAAGGTTGGCCAAGGAAAAGGAAGAAGCTGAGAAAGTAAGCAAAATGATCAAGCAAATGGAGGAAGCTGAGAAAGCCAGGTTAGCCAAGGAAAGGGAGGAAGCCGAGAAAGCCATCAGAATGGCGAAGGAAATGGAGGAAGCCAAGCTGGCCAAGGAAAGGGAGGAAACTGAGAAAGCCAGGATGGCCAAGGAAATGGAGGAAGCCAAGCTGGCCAAGGAAAGGGAGGAAGCTGAGAAAGCCAGGATAGCCAAGGAAATGGAGGAAGCCAAGCTGGCCAAGGAAAGGGAGGAAGCTGAGAAAGCCAGGATGGCTAAGGAAATGGAGGAAGCCAAGCTGGCCAAGGAAAGGGAGGAAGCTGGGAAAGGGAGGAAGCTGAGAAAGCCAGGATTGCCAAGGAAATGGAGGAAGCCAAGCTGGCCAAGGAAAGGGAGGAAGCTGAGAAAGCCAGGATGGCCAAGGAAAGGGAGGAAGCCAAGTTGGCCAAGGAGAGGGAGGAAGCTGAGAAAGCCAAGTTGGCCAAGGAAAGGGAGGAAGCTGAGGCCAGGTTGGCCAAGGAAAGGGAAGAGTTCAGGCTGGCAAGATTGGCCAAGGACAAGGAGGAGGCCGAACAGATGAGATCGGCCAAGGACAAGAGCGACCGTGAGACAGTCAGGCTGGCCAAGGAAAAGGAAGACGCTGATAAAGCCAACGTGGAGGCCGTGCGACTTGTAAGAAACTAGGAAACCTTAACCCCTAAACCATAAGTATAAACCCCATAACCTAGGACCTCAACATTAAACCCGAAGCCTTAACTCCCTAAATTTTATACAACCCTAAACCCCAAAGCCTAAATCCGCCACTGTCAGGTCGACATGGCAAGACAGGCGACAGAAAAATACCAGGCTTTGCCGATGAACGCGACAAAGTTGCAAAAGCTACAGCTCTTGCAGGACATTATGGCTACTGGGGATGAGGGTTGCAAGCAGTTCTGCAAGGCTGAGCTTGCAAAACTGATCACAGCGAAAGCAACAACGCCAGCTCCGGCCCCTGCTACCAGGGGTGCCGATCCTCCGGCCGCTACCACCAGGGGTGCCGATCCTCCGGCCCCTACCACCAGGGGTGCCGATCCTCCGGCCGCTACCACCAGGGGTGCCGATCCTCCGGCCCCTACCACCATGGGTGCCGTTCCTCCGGCTCCGGCCCCTAATGCCCCGACCTTTGATGATGTCAGTGCGAAGATGGGTTGGTCAAGTCCTGCAACCCCACGCATGGTGGAGGCACCTGGTACGCCATCTCCTGCAACGCCTGGCAGTGCAATCACAACGCCTGGCAGTGCAAAAACAACGCCTGGCAGTGCAAGCGACGCCTTGGCCCAAGGTTCTGCGCCACTCTACAGCCGAAAGAGCGCCGCCATGTTCTTGAATCGCCTGAAAGGCAACCCAAAGAGGATGCAAGCCTTGCCTGATGACTTGGCAAAGTTGGTGCGGGACGAAGATTCAAAGAGCAAAGCCATCGACTTGATCGTCGCTGCAGGAGGAGACGAAAATGAGCTGGTCGGGCAGTGGACTGCAACGTCCATTTCTGTGGCGGCGGACAAGGAAAAGGGAAAGATGAAACCTTTGACGGAACAGGAGCTGATCGGCAAGTACGGAGCAGTCAATGCTGCGAAGGTGATGCACGAAAAAAGGAAGGCTGGTTTGGAGGTTGATGATCCCAATTGTAAAGGGCTCAAGCTTTACTTGCACAACGAGTGGCAGAGGGAATGGACGAGAGGCACAGAAGAACGTTTCTTGCTTGCATTCATACATCGTGCATCCAGTTATGTTCGACTTCAACATTTATGTAACATTCGTGCATTCATGCGAACGGAATCCGAGGAAGCACATTCACTGCTTTCGGAGAAGTTCGTGCGGGTGATGCTGCCAACGTTGCACAAATTCTCAGTGTGCCCCGGCGGGCGCTGACAGGGCCCGGCCAGGATGATGGGGTCACTATGGACATGGAGGAGGCCCAAAGCCACTTCCGAACAGAAAACCAAGGAAAGCCAGAAAAAATGAAGCCAGCGGCAAAGAGAAAGACGAAGACGATCAAGGTGAGCCGGAAGCACCACGAGTGGAGAAACTTACACCGCTGGACAAGGCGGCAGACTTAAGGGGGCGGGCCCTCTCGAAGGCCAACCGCGCTGGCTCGATGCGGAAGCAGTTGAAAGGAGTCAGCTATGCGACTGAGTGCCTCAAGGAGATGACCCACTTCGAGCAGGAGTTCCAGTGCCTTGGCTGCATTGATACCTACTAGATCGTTTTATGAGCCACTGCCCCACAGGGCTGGTCTAGCCATATGAACAAGAAGTCTTGACAGACGCTCATATGGCCCCAACCCAATACGACACGGCCAAGGGCGATCTACGACCAGGTGGACAAGCTCATCTCTGAGCTGGTCCACGATGATGGGGTCTATCTTCCCATTGCTACCAGATATCTCGATATCGCGAAGCGTTATGAGAGGCCCCAGCAAGGTAGCAAACAGCTTGATCCGAGCTGCGAAGGCGACTCCGAAGGATCCAACCGCACCCAAAGGATCGGCCAAAGCCAAGTCCAAGAAGCGCAAAGCCGCGGAGGGAGCCTAGAAAGATTCTTGGGACCCGGGGCCGGTGCCCAGATGGGCGTGCTGTTCACGTATGTTAGAACACTCCAAGGTTACTGGTAACATGTCCATCTGGATTTTGCACATCTCATTTTCTTCCAGTGTCCGACACTGATAACGTACAGTTGGTGTAGGGTCCTCGCCCAAGGGCTCGAGGACCCAAGCCAGTGTGAAAGAAGTTCCGTGCTGCTGTGCACAAGATGCTCTCGACTTTCAATCCTTGGGGAATCGATCGTCGCTCTGGTGCCCAAAATTGCTTGCTGCAGATGCCCTGACGGGGCGATTTCACGTGATGGGGTGGAAGGAATGAAAAACATTGTTGCCAGGTACGTGCCCTTGACAGAGTCTGGTCGGCCTGCCTTTACGACACGTCGTCGTGGGATGCTGCTGGGACCGCAATATATGCAATAAGCATAAACACGCCGCTGGAGCAAGGACCGCAGATGACTTTGACTCCGCTGGTGCAGCTTTACTGGCCCAGCGCATGGGTGCTGGAGACTCTTGACTTGGATGTATCCAAGCACGTCAGCTATATAGTCCGTGTGCAACACTCTTGGACCTTGCAGCCAGAACACACATTCTGAGGCGATACCTGTGGCCGAAACAAGCAGAATAGCATCTGCCTTCCGGCGAGATGGGGCATCTGGACGTGCCCTTGCACAAATGGCAAGCAGCGAACGGGAGAGGGATTTCTTCCGCTGGATGAAGTTACCCATCCAGCTCCTGCTGGTGGATTGTGTGGAGCAACACCAAAGAACGCAAGGACAAACCACTGATATTTGAGAAAACAGCTTTCTGTCTTCCCAGTGATGTTCTCTGCGAGCTTTGCAAAAGATCACTGGTGGAAACCTGTCTTATTGGACATTCGCACCTCGGCACGCGCCTGATTGCTTGGTTCATTGTTGGTGCATTTCCTGGGGGTCTCTTTGACCCTACTTTGTGTGGTCTGTGGTCTTTCAGCCAAATGAGCGTGAAAAGTCTATATGACCATGAAAGGGCAAAATCGTGAATTCACGGAGGGGTTGTGAATTTCACGCCAGGTGTTTCACAGATTTAGCTTGCATCATGGGGTCAAAGAACGGATATATTGAAGAAACTGGACGACATAACCGATTGTAAAGTGTTGGCTCAGAAAACTGGCTCAAATAGTATCGGAAAACTCGTGGCTCAAGTTTGGCTCAAATTGATCTCTCGAGCGAAAAAGGGTTGAAACATATGCCTAATTGAGAAACCTTAATCACGTAAGCCTATAATCCTAACCACCTTAAAACCCTTACATTCGCAGGAGTTCAGGCCACCCGCCATGGCCGAAGAATTCACGGGAACTTTCGAACATCCCACAGCCCAAACTTAATTAACCAAGCCTTTGCCCAAGCTTCTACCCAGGTGGCCGCTGGACGGTGAAGTAGAATATGACTCTATGACACATATATCTATTTTGCTGGAATATATGTTTTATTAGATGCATACGTCCATACCCATGTCGATTAAACGTGACATAGGGCAAGGAAGCGACTAGGATTTCCATGTCCTGCCTATATGTTCTCATGACTTAATACATAAAGGCTTGTAGATGGATGGGTGCATAACTAAGCTGATGGACCCCTTAATCTATGCATATGTGTGTATGTGCATATATATAGTATATGTGTGTGTGTGTGTCTGTGTGTATTTTTTGTGTAGATCTCTGCGAATGTAGACAAGTAAATAGATAGATATTGGCCACAGGTATATACAAGTGTTTACCATTGTCTACCTATCGAATCAGTAGGTAGACAATTGTAAACACTTGTTTTGGGGTGTACATAATTTCAGTATTTCTATGCCTGTATACATATACATGCAGTTAGATAGGTACACATAGGTACAGATCCATGTATAGATATGTATATAGATAGATCTTTTGATATAGCTATCGGTACAGGTATAGACTAGTTTAAAATCTGGGGTACACACGTGTATATATATATATATATATATGCGTGTATATTCGCCAATGTGCTGCCAGTCTGTGCATATGCATATCTGTTTCAGCACATGTGTATATATACACATGTGTGTGTAATATTACATGTTGATAAACAAATATATATATATATATATATATATATATATATGTATATATACATATATATATATATATATATATCTGTTTATGTGTGTGTGTACATATATATGGATATACCCATACTACGCAAAGACTATACGCAAATACATAGTGCCTGTCCATGCTTACACACGTGCAAGCATTACCGCGTTTCTGTTGGCCTTAGTGTATGTGTATGTGCACACACACACGTACATGAACATGCATACGACCTAGATCATGACGATGATGATGCTGATGCTAGCGAAGATGATGATGAAGATATGTGTCAAGTGCATGTTTGCCTGCATGTGATTGCACATGACCACATGTGCCTGTGTGCGAAGGTCATGGCTCTGCTTATAAAAGCACTACTTGGACACTACGTTATCAGCATAGCTGCTTCCCAACACATATGCACGTGCACACATGCTTGGGTGCACAGGTGCAAAATTCTGACGGCACAACAACTCAAAGCTGGAAGCATTATAATCGGCATATCTGTCTATGCGAAGTGAAACGTAAGCGCATCATGTGGACATACGCCGCCATATCTAGCACACATATACTGAAAACTCAATCTTAAGTATATGCAGATCAAGAAATAGATCTGTGTCTTTATACATACATATACCTATAGACACATGTAGTGGTAACCGACAATGTCGCCGGCGATGTTGGCATCCAGATTCCTCCCGAGGTGCTACGGGGCCGGGAAGATTGAAAGGTTTTAAGGGTCCCCCATGGTACCCAGCTAAATCGTGGAAGGTTCACACGCTAGGGGTTGGTGAACGTTTATTTTGTTTGAGTAAAAATATTCAAGATGCAGACTTAAACCTCCACCCGGAAGCACAACTATATTCGAGTTGGTTTGTAGTAAATGAAGGTAGAAGTGCACTAAAAGACTTCTCCTACCGAACATTGTATAGGGATGCTCAAATTGGGAAGACAGGGTACGGGACATATATAGTCCCCATTAAGCCTGGGCTGGGCTTTGCAATTTTGCACCTTATGTGTTGCACTGGGGGACTTACTGAATCGTGGGGGCTTCAGGTATGCATGTCTTGCCTTGAGCTATAGACCAAAGACCCAGTCATGTAGCCTTGCCAAAACACGACCATCCTTTGCACAGGTGCTTTAGCTGGATGCTTCTGCTCGAATGCATGTCGAATGGTGCGCCTGGCACACATTGTATATGGGCATATATGTGTACACTCAGTTTCAAGGTGTTGTTAGAAGCACTCTACGCCAGGCGCTCCGAGGATTGCGACGCGACACATCGCTGATCGGAGGAGGTGGCCCTACCCGCCATGCTTCTGGCTGCGGCTTAGGGTTTCAAGCTAGAGGGCTGATTAAGGAATTAGAGAGGCTAGGGTTTGTGGATAACTATGTTATAAACCGAGGAAGTAACTAGCTAAGCAACTATAAATACCAACTTACCTACTTACCAACCTACCTACCTAGTTACATACCCACCTAACTACCTACCTACCTACCCACCCACCCAACTATAACTATAGTAACTGGCTAACTGATGCTTAGGCAAATAACGGAATATACTGGCTAACTAACGAACTACTGAAGCATTCATTTCTAGATCGTGGGTTAAGAAAGGTGGCAAGTATTTCCGACTTTCGATAAAGCCTTGTAAACTACTGTGGTTCGCTGTATACCGGGTCGATGAATGTTTTACGCTTAGTGGGGTGTTATTTGCCACTGCAGCTCTCTCTCTCTCTCTCTCTCTCTCTCTCTCTCTCTCTCTCTCTCTCTCTCTCTCTCTCTCTCTCTCTCTCTCTCTCTCTCTCTCTCTCTCTATGTGTCTGTGCTTTGCACTCCGAATGTGATCGCGGGCTGCATCTGAACATGCAGGCATATCGTCAGCTGCAGAAGTGCAGTCTTTGTGTAACTACATCGTGTGTGGCCTTCAAAGTCTTCAGAGCTCACCTTACATGTTGCAACACGAACGGCTGTGATTTAGATCGTACCCATACTTTTAAGCAACCCAAGCTTGCTACCTTCGCAAAATGCCAACCGTCATCGATCCGGACCTCGTCCAAAAGCTCGCCAACTCCTTCGCTGGGCAGCTGGCCTTGAAGGATGCTGCTCGGATAATGGGATTTGAGTGGTCTTTGACTATCGGTCCCCGGATGTGCTAGCTCAGGCAGGCTTCAGCTTTGTTGTCGACCACTCTGGAAAGCTGTTCAAGGGCAAGCGATGCATGCTGAAAGATTTGGTTCATAACCCTGATGTCCCTTGGCAAAAGAGCAGAAAACCCTATGCATCGATCTTGGCATGGAGTAGTCCATCGGAACACAATATCTAAGGTCATCGTTGCTACCATGCAAGCCGTACAGAAATCCAGACAGAGTTCCTTCATCATCAAAGAAGGCATCCTTCTGTTTTATGATGACAACAAGTTGTGGCCTCGTGGCTTGAATTCCCGAATGGAGTGTATTCAAGATTGGGCTCTGATGATGGGTGATGCCATCAAGCGCTTGGCTGCTTATCTGAAACGGTCTGAGGCGTCACAGATACTTAGCCTAGTCTATCATGGATTCTCACGATTTACTTAGTGTATGTCTTAGGTCGGGAGGATGCGTCGACTGATGAAGCGGTCTGGCAGCAGCAAGCTCAAGAAGCTGACTGGTTTGCGGAAACGGGTATCCGCTCTGAATATCCCAGGGTTGGATGCTCGGTACAGTTTACCATTCCACAACTTGGTCTGCCCCTTTGTCTACGCTCAATGATGAAAGTATATATATTGGGCTTTAAGGTGGGGTTCACGTTGTTTGTTGAGGGCCCCTGGCTTCGGGTTTGCATCAAATTTTTCAATAGGCGCCTGCAGGGCTGAAGTTTGGAGGCTTTACATATATCTAGATCTGTAGAGATCAAACCCAATTGGTATAACAATACCCGACAAGTTTTAACTAAAGTTCGCTGTTGAATGGAAACGGCCAAAGACCTGCCTGATCTACGCAAAGCTGCCCCTCCATATACTATGCCTACGCCCAGGAAGGGCCACCAGATGAAGGAAGGAGAACACTCTTTCAGGGAGTAGCACATGGAGCGGGTTTTCGTCGGCATCCCTGTCGAGCAAGGATTCGGTGATGAGCCGGCTGCGCCAGCAGTTTTCGGATATTCGGTTGTACAACAAGGAAGCTGGGAGTCCTACAACTTCCAAGTTCAAACCTGCAGCTTCGAACGCGAAGGTGGTTCCAGGCTACGTTTCTAGTTCGATCATCCTAGAAGCTTTGCTTTGTGTGATGGGTATGGTATGTGCAACTAGATGGCAATTGCATGTATTGTCCCGGTTCTGAGCCCAAGGTTATGGACAGTTTGGCTTCGACATCCCCACCTTCTCAGCCTTTCCCGATCAGCGATCAGTATGCCCCGTCCTTCCGGTTCCGAGTGGGTGCTAAACCTGCTGACAGTGGTGAGGCTGAGAAAGTATCCGATCCCCAGATGCCATTGGCTCCTCCAAGGTTTAGGTTCAAGGTCAGTAAGAATGTCAAGAAGAAGCCCGGCAAAAAAGCGCAAGGAGACCACCGTCGAAAAGGACCACATCTATGGGGGCTACATTCCTAATAATTTCTTTGAACGAGCCAAGGCTTTCATCGCAGAGGCGAAGAAAGACGGTGCCACTCCGGCAGAAGCCCGCACAATGTGGGTGGAAAGCCAGGAGCGAGCCCAGCTGTTGGCCGACATGCCTTTGAATGAGCTCAAGCGCCGGAGATTTGTGGGGTCCGGAGTGCAAACGAATCCATTTCGAGTTGCTGCACTTGGCGGCTGAACGTTTTAGTTACAGTGTTGATCATTGCATGAAATTACCATGCATGCAGCATGCAGATCGATGCTGAATGCTGAGACTTACCAGCAAACGGCAGATGCAAAACGCGAGGTGCTTTCAGCGAGCGACCCTTTTGGAATCAGGGACTTTGCATTGAAAGCTTCGGTCCGAGCAGCACTCGCATGTGTCGGTCGTTGAAGCTTTTGGGCTACAAAGCTTGTGTTGCTTTGCAATATGGTGGTCGCTGAGCTGTTGCGGGCCGACGCACCCGGATGCCTTGTTGTGGCGGTTCTCTTGCTGCTGTTCAACAAACAGATCCCAAAGGATAAGGACCCCGATGCCAAGACTCCCGCAATTAAGCTATCATTAGACACATAAACAAAGCCGAAACAAGTTATACCACGAATGATAGTCTGCATAATCGCTAGTTGAGGTTCTGTACGGGTCCAAAAAAACAGCTTAACTTCGGTTCGCCGGCTCGCATTTGTACCCAGATGCACGGGGCATAAAAACCCACACATAGAAAGCTCTGTGTTTGTGCATATATCTCTATATCTACATGTACATGTATATGTATATGTGTACGTGTATGTATGTGTATGTGTTTGTGCATTCATATATATATATATACACACATTGATATCTACACATGCATACATACACACATACATACATACAGACATACATACATACATTCTTCATAATAACATAGCATACATCCGAGGCCGAGGAAATGAATACATGCAACTATGTGCCTCAGTTGCATGTATTATAATCAAACACACATACATACATACATACATACATATGTAGATTTACATATGTATCAGTATATAAATATATGTGTGTAGGTACGTGTGAATGTAAAACTATGTACACACAGATGCCTACCCTCCTTATTCAGAAGCGACTATCTCGACTATCTAGGACCGCGAGTTCTTGGAAATCTTTGCTGGGAAGGCGGAAGTATCAGCAGCACTACGAAGGGCATCTTGATATTACAGTACAGACATCCTGTTTTCTAAACCCTTAACCTTCAACCCCTCCCATACATAGTGGACCTTCTCTCAGCCCAGGCGTGCCTTCGTGGAGCTTCCGTCGACAAGGACTACGAGCCCCACGCCATGAATCTCCTGGAAAGCGGAGGATTCTGGAACTTCGCTGGAATATTCAGAGAATTCAGTAAATTCTGTGATCGGAAGTCGTATTCTGTTCATAGTTGCATTCTCTGCTGAAACCAAGTTTGGTGATCGCTGAGCTGATGCGATGCAAACCGGGATCACTGGTGGTCATTGCTCTGGACTGCAGTAGCTTTTGTCTGATGCCCCCATGTTGCACATAGCCTTTTATTTTGCCGCCCGGTCCCAAAATTCAGACATGTAGAGAGCATCTCAGGTCCCGGGGCACGACAGGCCGAAGTGTTCTCCGACCCTGGGGAAACTTGATGCATGAGTTTGTATGCTCTGGCAATGTGCTGTCCAGTCGAGTGGCTTTGCTGATCTTTTTGTGCCAATACCTGAAGCTCCGCTGGATCCTGGAGCAGCCAGACGGATCATTCCTTCCTGACATGCCCCACTACCAACAGCTTTGGCGTACTTTTGAGGTCGGGGTTCGCAAAATACTGATATCTAGCTGCTCTTATCTTAGTGAGCCAACCCTGGAAGAACCAATCCCTGGCGCAGGTTTGGCAAGGATATTTCTGGATGGGTTTATTCAATGGTCCCTCACCGAAGCGGCACCGGGTTTGGTCAAACTGCAAGGGCATTATCGATGCCATTTCAGAAAGGGCGGGATTTATGTCTCGGGAGCAAATGGGCCAACTGCGGGTTCGGCTGGCCAACCACTACGAGGATAAGAACGGTGTGAAGCGACACACGGGCAAACCAAAGGATCTACAGAAGTCACAGCCACTAGGCTCCGATTATACAGGACACCTGGTGCTAGGTTACTGGACCAAGTTTTTACCATCCCCGGCCGGCTCCTGTTTGCCCAGGGCATACACTCGTGAGTTCGGCGAGTTCCTGGCGAAGTACTTTGTGGAAATCATGAAGGCGGGCCCCATCACTACATATAGTCATTGATTCAATTCGATGAAACCCAAAACCTTCACCCTCGGGCACAATATTATGAACTAGCCACCAAATTAACTAGCCATATAGATGTCTCATTCATAATCCCATGTTAGTGGATTTCACGGGGACTCCCGACAGATTCCTCCCGATTGAATTCAGGGTATCATGGAACCTTTGAGCTGATATAAGCCCAAATCCCAAACCTACTGGCAACCCTTATAATCACTAGGGGTTGTTAACGGCTTTGGGGGTTTAGGGTTCATCTCGAGGGTTTAGGCTTTAGGGTCGGGCCGGGTTTATACAGGGCTTTTGAGATAGTGTGTATGTCTAATTCGGAGTGTTGGGACTTAGTCTTGGCTGTCGTTATAAGAGTGCTATCAGGTTACTGTGGGTGTTGTCAACTTCGCGGAATTAAGGCCTCTGGTGGTTTCAAACACAAGAGATATTCCACTCGTTGCTTGTGTGAGCCCTTCTAAAGAGATTAGTTCTAACCGAATCACTAGGTCCTATATAGACAGAAATAGTATGGCCCCCCCAAAGAGCCCAGAACTAGGTCCAATATGTGGCTGGAGAAACGCTGATTAACTAGCCCATAACTCAAGAACTTTAGGTCTAACCCAAGCATCCGATCCGAGAAGCCCGTACTTCTCCAAGCCTTTGTTTCCTTATGCGGTGGTGTGTCTGGAGTTCAAGGTACAGTTCAGTCTTATCTTGTTACGACGGAAACCCGGGGGAATTGTCTGGGGCCGGGGGGGGGGGTGGGTTAGGGGTGCTGCGGGTGATGGGTGGAGGGGTCATGCGGGGTTCATAGGGGTTCTATCTGCAGTCGTATCGTGATAAGACTGACATGGGGGGCCTCCCAGCTAGGTGCACTCTTACTTAAAGTATATAATCAGTTCAGAGGTGAACGTAGGGTCCGTAGGGTTTTACAGCAACTATAAACACCGTATACAAATATATACATAGGATAGCTACATACGAATCTGTAATCAGCTTTTGGAGATGTTCGTGAATTCTGGTTTCACGGGGGTTGTTTTGTTGACTTTGTGCCCAGGAGCCCTTCGAGCCCCTCGCTGCCAGAACGGCACCGAATATCGATCCCGGTCTGACAGACCATGAACTCTTTGTGAAGCACTATGTGACACAGAATGGTTATCTCCTGGGTGATATTTGGGACGATGTCGCCTGACCCTATCCTAAAACTAATGTTGTATATATCGAAGTATTACAGAGAGCAGAACCAATTTCACGAGTGAAACCCAGCCCAGGCTGAACTTCCGACCATTCTGTACTACTTGAACTCCAAGCATGTCGAGGCGCCGGGCCACTGGGTGACCTGGCGCAATTATGATTTGAAGTAGCCCGGTTGGTTACAGTCGGAGCTACGAGGGTGAGCTCAGGATCGGACTCTGAAGAGTATGGGGCTCTTGTAGCTCAATTTACAGATGCTGCGATATGCAATTCGCTGCATATGCCTACGGCAAGGATAGGCAAGCTTTTGCTGTGGGGAGCAGCCTGGAAATGCAAAATGCGGTCTTCTCTGCTTGATTGTGCTGCATGTCGTGAAAACACTCTCAACAAAGTTCACCGTGAAAAAGCGTTACTTGAACGTGAAAAGTTGTTACTTGAACACGTGGCGCCGTGAATTCTGTGATTCACGAATCTCACAATTTCGCACACCTGTCATACTGCTGCGTGTGAAATCACGTGCTGTGTGAGCTACAATGCGAAATCCTCTTCGGTGCTATGTGAAATCATGTGTTGTGCAACATATGTTGTGAAATCACAGTTGTACCGTGAAATCACAGATGTGTGATCGTGTGCTGTGAAATCAGACGGTGGGTTGTGAATTTGAGGCTGAACGCAGTTAGAGATCTAGGGAAGCGCTTCCCCGATCGACCATGGGGAAAAAGGCGGCAGATCCTCATGAGCAGGCTGCATATGATGCAGTCATGGCGAAGCTCGGCTTAGCAAGTAGTGCTGCAGAGGCAGCCCCTGCAGCAAAGAAGGCCAACGTAGACCCAGCAAGCAGCCAGGAGCACCAGGAGCCGAAGCAAAGGAGAAAGCCCGGGCCAAAGCCCAAGGACAAAGGTGAGCAGCCAAAGCGCAAGGCAGAGGATGATCCAGGATCTGATGCATCTGCAAAGCCCGAATCCACGCCGCCACCGGCCCAGCCCGAGAAACCACCCAAGGCCAAGAAGATTAAAGCAGCTGAGAAAACCGAGGCCCATGCAGCAGCATTGGAGGAAAGCAAGGATCCGAAAACCACAGCGGAAACCAAGAACCACGCAACAGCACCCAAGGAAAGCCAGAAGCCACCGCCTGAGGACACCGAAGCAGCACCCAAGGAAAGCACGGCAAAGGGCAAAGCAAAAGCAAAAGCAACGCCCAAAGCAAAGGGCAAGGCAAAAGCCAAAGCAGCATCCACGGACAGCAAGGCACCGGCGACTCGTGCAAGCAAGAAAACAGCACCAGCAGCAGCCGAAAAGGGAAAGGAGAACGCAACGGAGGAGTTCTGGGACAACGATCTCGGTATGATGGTGTCGTGGGCTCGCTTCGATGAAGTCACAAAGAAGGTGCAGGAGCTGCATGATGAAACCCCGGCTTCGATTGCTGCAGCCCTTGAGGATGTGTTGGGGCCGTGTCCTCAGGAGATTGCCGGTAACATACCGGACTACGCGCCGGGCAGCTCACGTCATCCGGCCCAGTGCTGGAGGATGCTACCATGCCTGATCATCAGAAGGACCAGGAAGAGGACGACGATGATGGGGATGATGAAGAGGAGGAGGATGAACAGGAGAGTGACGAGGACTCAAAGGTAGGTCCCCCACCCGAGGCCCTAGCAGCAACCCCAGCAAAGCCCCTGGCCGCAGCAGCAGCCCCAGCAAAGCCCCTAGCCCCAGCAGCAGCCCCAGCAAAGTCAGCGGCTGTTGCCAGCCCGAACAAGGTCATCCACCTGCAATTAAAACTTGTTGTGCGCATTTTCTGAAAATTCGTTTTAGGCTCGGCCCGGGTTGCACGCGGAGTCTTTCTTGGATTCTGCTAAGTTCGTACAGTATGTGTTTGGATGCCAGTCTACATTGTCTGTAAAGGCTCCGTCGCCCAAGAACCTGGAGAAGAGCTTTGAGGAGCAGTGCACGCCAGAGGCTTTCAAGCTGAAGCGGATGGATTCGTTGCAGCACCCTAGCTGTCTCATGAATTTAGCTCGGGTTCGCTTTGACTTAATGTTTGTCTTTCTCCTGCTCGTCCTCCATTATAGAACCTACTCACAAATTTGTGATTAGCTTGTATTTCCTTGCTTGAAAGTTTTGCCTGAATCGTCACGCAAAACGGGTGGAAGATTTATTTTAACAATTTCTTCGCATGTCGTTTCCGGCACGACAATCTGTTAATTTTATAGAGCTTTCGCATGACTCTTTGCAGTGAGGTATGTGAATGTGTCTTTTCCGCTTTTCGGTCCTTAGCAAAGAGCACGGTGGCTTTTGTCCCACTTCCAACTGCGGTTTTTTGAAAACGAGTCTCGAGCGTAGTTTCTGCTTGTAGACTACTTTTCAACAAAGTTGTTCGCATGACACAACAGTCTTTCATGCTGCTATATTCGGTCCTTAGCGGAGAGCACTGTGTTTTTTTTCTCTCTCTCTCTCTCTATATATATATATACATATGCATATGTAGGTTTGTATATATATATATATATATATAGACATACATATGTGAGTGTGGGTTTTGGCATACTGAGGTCATGCAAGACTTTGATCGCTGGCATCAAGGTGACGAACCAAATGGCCGATTCTGGCCGGCCGGCCACACCTGTGAAACCCAAGGATGACGACCTCGGGGACTTGTTTGATGGGCTGCTTTGTTGCACAATTGGTTCTGCTCGCAATCTGAGGTATCCTCATGTCTAGAAATATGTGAGCTTGTCGGATTCCCAACTTAAGGATGGACGAATCTGCTTCGCAGTTGGTTGCTGAGTCGGCAAACAAAGAACAGCTGCAGACCATGTTTCAGGAACTTGTAGCTGCCAACGCTAAGATGAAGCAGGCCCTGCAGGAGAAGTCCAGCCCGGGCCCCGCAACAAGCCCAAGGACTTCAAGGGTGTCTTTCCGGCTCCCTCCCAGAATCGTGAATGACACCCAGCGGGTAACCATGCAAAGGAACAGGAAGAGGCAGAGGAACAGGAAGAGGCAGAGGAAGAGGAACAGGAAGCGGAAGAAGGAGAGGATGCGCCTTCGACAATCATGACCCCGGCCCCTAAGTCTGCGAAGCCCGCCGTGTCCACGCCGCCGCCGCCGATTGACAATCCCTTCACAAATGCAAACTCCACAAGCCACCGCAAAGAGTGGATGAGTTTTGGTCGAAAGTTTAGCGAGGGTGATGGCATGTTGAAGTTTCCCGAGCTCGCCAGCCTTTGGGATGCCAGCAAGGAGGAGCATTGCTTGCAGTCATGGTTTGCAACTCATGACATGCTAATGTGTTTGCAAAACAGGTGACTTTATATCAGCATGCACAGTACAGGACAAGCTGAAAGCTTTCCGTGCATGGTTGTCTTCGAACAAAGACTATGCCGCGGCAGAGTCTGAGATGCTTCTCGAGCGGACGAAGAAAACGAAAGGAAAGAAGAGCTGGGAATGCCTGACAATCCTAGAGATGGTGCAACGCAACTTCAGTGAGTGCGATGCTGAGCACTATAGTATGTAGATATGTATCCTGCTCATGACAGCCCTGGCTCGCGATGCTCATGATGCTTTCCGAAAACTATAGTACCGGTTCTGGAATCTAAGGCAAAAGATTGAGGCGGCAGTGCGGAAACCGGGAAATGCGGTGCCTGACGAAGATTGCCCTGAGGATCCGCACAGTGTGAGATACTGGACGAAGACAGCTATGCGGCAGGATGAGACTGATAGCACGAAGCAATCCCTCGCGACACGCATTGGGTTTCAGGGAACGCCAGAGCTTGCACATGCCATGCTAGGCAATCAGGGCATGGAACCCGTCAGCCGGGAGAT